TGAGAGAGGGGCGGGGGGCAGGGCTTGAGAGAGAGGGAGACACAGAATCCGAAGCAGGCTCCAGGCTCCGAGTTGTCAGTGCAGAGCCTGATACGGGGCTCGATCCCACGAACCGTGAGATCATGACCTGAGCCACGATCAAGAGTCAGATGCTTAACCGACTGAGCCACACAGGCGCCCCTCCACTGGCATTTTAAACGTGTACACAAGTGTCAACTCCAGGGCAGGTCACAGAGCCCGGCTTCCAATAACCAGAAGGCAGTTTCCAGCACCTCATGACCTGAACGGAACCAGTGCCAGAGGCTCCCAGCTCAACTGGAGCACCTGGGGGCGGGTCCCAGGCTTTCCAGAGACTTCTCCAAACCTTCCAGGCCTAAACATGACCACCCAAAACACCTCTGATGGGGCAGCCCTGTTCTTATCTGATGCAGTTGAAACAAGCCTCGGGGAGGAACACATAATAACTCCCCAGGCGGGCCTCCAGAACTTTCAACAATCATTAAATAATAATCTGCCCTTGAATCTGAGAGTGCAGGCAAGTCACCAAGATCTGTAAAGTGAAGAGGCAGCGTGAGAAAAGTAAGAAGTTGCCAGGCAAGGAGTGAAGCTAAGGAAGGCCAGATAAGTCATTCTCACAGTGAGGGCTTGGGCACAGCCCACCCTCCCCTCCACGACATCTGGCTCATCAGAACCGCCACCAACCATCGCTGGAGGCCTAGGAAATGCAAAACTAGGAGCCGTGGCGTTACCAAGCAGCAAAGACACCAGAGTGTTTTAGCCAAAAGAAACGTATCCGTTCCTTGTCATCAAGGGGAATGCCAAATAGTCTGTCTCCGGTGGTGTTGCCGGGTGACAAGCTCGAAGAGGCCACAGCTGTAAGTCTCATGTCCAACTCAAACACTAAGCCTTCTCCCCATTAATAACCCAACCAGCTTGGGAACTTCTGGAAGGACCTACAGCTAAAAGAACTTTCTTTTTTTTTTACCATCAATGCAGGGGGCAAGAAGGGAGAAAATATCTTTACTCTCACGCTGTTTTGCTAGAGGTGGTTTGGGGCCTGGGGGCACTTGGAACCCTGGAGTTGCAGGGCTAACCACTTACAAGACAAATCCCAGAAGTACAAAAGCAGAAATGTCCCTTTCTCCTTGGCAGGAGAGGTGGGGGCTGGGGCCCAAGCTCTGCCCCCACCTTCCCCTCCCCAATTCTGGTCAGCTGCTCCCACACTAGTTAAAGATTACCTACCGGAACAGTAAGGCCAGGCTGCCTGGGCCCCACTCCCTCTTCCTCACTCTCCTGGCTCACTCCAAGGGGTTCCAGGCCAGGTCAGGAAAGGGGTTTCCGTGGCAACAGGCAAGAGACAGGGCCAAGGGACCTACATTCTCCCTGCCTTTTGTAGCTGGCAATGGAGAGCCACAGTCCAGGCCACATGCCACAGAGGGCAGCCTGCGAGGGTAATGGGGGTTCAGGTTAATCCTGCTTATTATGACCCGACTACTGTCTTCTTTCCTAAGCAGGGTGCTAAGGGCACCACAGAAGCAGGGAGTAACTAGTGGGGAAAATGACATTTTGGAGCAGCTGCCCAATCACCCAGTCTGGCAGTCGGGTGAGTGGGGCCGGCGGAGCAGCGTAGGAACCGGCTGGCGAGAAAACGCAGGTCAGGCCAAGGAGAGGCTCCAGGATGGAGACTTAAGTGCGACGGGAGGGGTGGGGGGTGTCCAAACAAAAGGGAAAATCAAAAGCACGCTCCTCCAGCTGTCGCGTAAATGGCTCCAAAAATAGCTGACGCGGGCCTGACAGCGAGGAGGGATTACAGCGCGCCCGGCTGAAAAGGAAAGGGAAGTGGAGGCCGTCTCCCCGCCTTTGTCTGAGCAGGGACCGCGCCGAGACCCTCCCTCTCACGGGGAGACCGGGCCTGGCGCTCCAGCCCCCTACTCGCTGGCCTGGCCCCTCCCGGGGCGCAGGGCGCGCAGGACACCCTCCGGGCCCGGGACACCCCCAGCACCCGCCACGGGAATAGCTGGGGGGGCGCGGAGCAGCCCGGAATCCCCGCCCGCGCAGGGCCGCAGGACCAGCAGCTCCCGGGCCACCAGCTGCCACCGTCCTTCAAGTCCCCGCCCCCCCCCCGGCTCTTTGTGTGCCAACCCCGCCGTCCCCGGCCCGCGATCGCCCCGAGTCGCGCTCCCCGGTCCCCGCCCGGGAGGCCGCCACGTCGCGGTGCCGGGCGCGCGCCCCGCCCGGACCCTCCTCGTGGCACTCACAGTGGCGCCGCGGCTGCTCCTGCAAGTTGGGGCCTGTCGGGGCTGCCGGCGCCCAGGCCGGACCGGAGCCGGAGGCCCTGCAGAGCGAGCGTACGACCCGCAGGTAGCCAGCCATCCCGCCGAGCAGGCGAGCGAACCGACCGCGGCGGGCGAGATCCGAGCGCCGGTGCTGCTCCCGGCTGCCTGGCGGCGGGCTGCCAAGGCCCTCCAGGCGCCCGGGCGCGGGCAGGGGCGGGGCGGGGCTGCCGGGGGCCGCCACCCGATTGGGCCTCGCCGGGGAGGAGGAGGGGCCGGGGCCGAGCCGGACCCCTCGGGAGGCCCCCGCGCAGGCCCGACCCCGCCCCAGCGCGCAGCCCGCGCTGCCATTGGCGCCGCGCGCAGCCCCGCTGAACTGCCGGGGAGAGGCGGGGGAGACGCGCACCGGCCCGCGAGCGGGGGCCGGAGCTGGAGGCTCAGGGCAGCAGGTAGCGAGCCGAGCCCCTCTCTCCAGGACGCCCTATTTAAGCCAGGGTGTCAGTTGCTGACGAATCAGCTTAATCCCCCCATAGTGAGCAAACTCCCGCGCCCTTGGCGTTTGCTGGGCGGAAACTCCTTCGCCTTAACCAAGCGCGGGTTCCGTCTTCCTGAACTGAGACCACGGGCACGTCGGCTCTTTTCAGGTGCGCTCTCAGATACTCCTGTCCCCTCCACGGGTTGCGTAGACTGTCCGGAGTCAAGAGCCGAACTCTCTCCTCTGCTTCTCCCCAGAAGGTCAAGCGGCTAATCCTCGAAGTCATCCGGCATAGCCAGAGTCTGTTTTTCCGCCCCCGTCCGAAATGGCAATTGTAACAGCCACAGGGCTCCCAGGAGACGTGGGTGCAATAACGTAAGTAAAAAGGCTCCGAGCACACCCTGTGCTCAGCGGTTGTAGTTGATGGCTTATCACGATCCAGATGAGTCCTCGTGCAGCCTGGACTGAATGAGCGAGCTCAGCCCCCACCCTGACAAACAGGTCCATGTTTGTCTGTTTACACGCACAAGACCATACTGATTGGTTCTGTCATCAGCGACTAAACTCTCCTCACCCATGTTCTTGAAATGGGACACCAGCCCGGGCTGGGTTTTATTTAGAAAAATCTGACCCCAGCCCCCACTGTCCGGGTCACACCATCTCACTCCGAACGTTAGCAACCAACGTTCTGCCCTGTGTCCCCAGCTCTCCCCTAACATTGCCTCAACAGTCAACATTGCCAGATGGGGCTGGGCCAGGAAAGCGACCTTGAATTACCGACTTTAGTGCTTCTTCTCCCTGTCCCAGCCAGACGGAGCTACTGCTTTGGCCCTGAGATCCAGCAGACTGGGTCCAAGGGGAGGTTGCTTTTGGACCCCCTCAAAGTCTGAGGTCTCAGTCAGAGGCCTGATCTTGGGCCAGCGTGTCCCAGAATGACTCCTAATCCCTTTCACTCCGTTCCCAATTCTCTTGCTCAAAACACCATCAAAGACCTTGGAGGCCTCTGGTATTTGGATTTATGCCATCCTGCTCTTATCAGGCACCTGGGCCTCAGTGTCCATACCTGTCAACGGGGAGAATGGACCCCCTGAGAATCCTTCTGGCCCAAACAATGAGATTCAGTTAATGTATGTCAACTACCCAGACTACCACTTCTGAAAAGGTCAGGAAGAATTTGCTGCCTGTCCCCAGGGGCTCATCTGTTCCTTTACATGGTAGACCAGGGTGTCAGAGGCCCCAGTGAGAGGCAGCACAGAAGCCTCGGTGTGTTCCAGAATCCAGCCCTCACCTGCACAGGGATCAGGGTGGGGGCACATGTGTTTTTCGCAAACATAGTAGCAGCCCAGGGCAGTTGAGGCAAAGTCTCGAGATTAAACTGCTTCTTACTCCCTGCCTCCCAGGGCTCCAGCTCCATGCCAGCCTTCTCCATACAGTGCCCGTTTGGCAAGGCAGCTGGTGGCAACTCCTTTGGCTCAGAGAGGTTAGGACACTTACTCAAAGTCACAGAGCCAGGAAGTAGCAGAACTCTAGTTCCTACCCATGTATGTGGCTCCTAGTCTATTGCTCTTTTAAGAAAAAAGGAGAAAACAGAATCCCTATTAACTACACTTCATAGAAAGATAGTGTTTAAAGGAAAAATGCTCAGATCCTCCAGTTTGGTGTCAGCAGAAGTGAAACTCCACCCTTCCATGTTTTTTTTAAATTTTTTTTAAATTGTATTTTAGAGAGGGGTGGGCAGAGGGAGAAAGAGAATCCCAAGAAGGCTCCACGTTTAGCATGGAGCCCAACTTGAGACTCAATCCCAAGACCCTGGGATCATGATCCGAGCGGAAATCAGGAGTTAGATGCTCAACTGACTGAGCCACCCAGGCACCCCATACCTTTCCATATTTTTAATCAAACTGCAATTAGTTATTGAGACGAGGTCATACGCAAGTTTTCTGTGGGGGGCACAAAAATGCTCATCACTCAATCCCTTTGGGAGCCAGACACACATGTGTGCAATCACCACAAACCAGGCACAAGAGGCAAGTGTCCCAAGAAGAGCTTAGATGACAGTGAGGCATCTCTCAAAGCCAAAACTATTTCTGATGAGGGAGAGCCTGGTGAGCGTAGGGTCAGAGCATCCAGCAAGCTGGCCCTTAAGGATATTTAAGATCTGGGAACACCTGGGTGGCTCAGTCGGTTAAGCGTCTGACTTCCGCTCAGGTCACGATCTCACAGTCCGTGAGTTCGAGCCCCGCGTCAGGCTCTGTGCTGACAGCTCAGAGCCTGGAGCCCGCTTCGGATTCTGTGTCTCCCTCTCTCTGCCCGTCCCCCGCTCATGCTCTGTCTCTGTCTCTCTCTCTCTCTCTGTCAAAAATAAATAAAACATTAAAAAAAATTTTTTTAATAAAAAAAGATATTTAA